CTATAATAGCAAAAAACTGTCAAAATTAAAAAAAAAAAAACATTTCTTATGTTTATACTGTTTGAAGAATCAAATAAATAAATCCGGATTATAAAAAAAAATTAAAGTATCACAAAATAATATGCTTTTTAACATCTTTGTAAAAGAAAATAGTTGTAATTAATATTTTTCCTAATTTATGACAAAAACTTTTGATCGTGAATATTCCCTGAAATCAACTGCAAGAAACAAAGAAAAACGAGTAATTTGTAGAAAAAGAGAGAGAGAGAGAGAGAGAAAATATTTTTTTACAATTTTTATAATAAATAACTTTTAAACGGATAAGTGGATCTAAATCAAATTTGGCACAAATATTTATTAGAGTTTTCTTAATATATGTGAACATTTTCATTCCATTGGCGATGTTTTTTCCTTATCAAATTTGTCAATAAGTGTTACAATATGCGATTTTCCATAAATATTAATACTAACTTTAAACTTAAGTAATTTCCAAACTGTTAAGAGAATTGTGCTCAGGTTTGGCACAGATACTCAGAAGAAATAGTAAAACAGTCTACGAAATTTTCATGCTTTTGTCAATATTTTGACATATGACACATCCTTAAATTATTCTAAAAATATAGTTATAACGAACAATTAAATTCATGTTACTTTAATTTTCATCAGACTATAGAATCTTCAACCATAATTATGTCAAAGCTGTTTTTTCAAAGTTAGATTGTTTCTTCTCGACAAGCTGCTCGATCCCGATGATTGATAGAGTATCATCGTGCGGGTTAAAAATACGGCATCGAAAAAGAGCCTCTTCCCCTCTCCTGAAAATCCCAATCGTATCGATGCTAGCGATGATAACCGTCATCATCGGGACGAGAGAGGGTCCGCCTCGAACCGGTTGAGAGTTACGACCTCGAAAGATGCCGGCGCGAACGACACGCCTGACCGGCGCTTACGTAACCCTCATCGCGATTATTACGAGCGATCGTAAATCACGATGAATTCCTATCGGGCATCTCGTTTCTTTCGCCTACCTCTACTTATCGTCTTTCTCTCTTTCTTTGTTAATATCGTATTATTTGCTAATCTACTTGTGGCCGCTCACGCATTTGAATTTCAATGGCACGCTTGTGGTTGCCCAACTAATTCTGTATTTGCTTAAGCGTAATGTATCGCATTTGAATAATAATATTAATAATATGCGTATTCTTTTTATTCCTGAGAAAACATAAAAAAATTACCGACAAGATTAAACTCACGTATAAAAATGCGGGAAAAATATGAAGCTCGGCAAACACAAGCCGCTATATTTTTCGTAATAATTATAGTTTCATATTATGTTTCAAATGGATTTAGTCGAGCATAATAAATCTTTCTTTCTCCTTTCGCCTCCTCTCATTTCCTCTCTCCTCCTTTTTTTGCCTCCCGTTGCCTTTAACTGTACCGCCTCGTCCGAATTCGTCAGCGCGACCGCATTGACCTTCGCATTTAACCCGTATTGACCCGATAATCCCAGCGAGCGTTATACGAGTGTAGACACGCCCTTGAAACGTTAGAAATTATTAATATTCTAAATTAGATTTCATTATATTCGCGTAGCCATACTTGAGATGGGACATTGCTCTCCTGGGTGCGTTACATATTAGCGAAGCAAAATCGCACAGCGTAACTGGATGCTAAGGGTAATTAGAGATTTAGTGATTAAATAATAAATTAATATGATTAATAAAATACACTACTCAAAAAAAAAAAAATAGGGAACATTTCTCATACCCTAAAAATTGGGTTATTTTCAAACCGCTGAAACTCGACGAAAAATAATCGTATGTACCGCCTCGTCCGAATTCGTCAGCGCGACCGCATTGACCTTCGCATTTAACCCGTATTGACCCGATAATCCCAGCGAGCGTTATACGAGTGTAGACACGCCCTTGAAACGTTAGAAATTATTAATATTCTAAATTAGATTTCATTATATTCGCGTAGCCATACTTGAGATGGGACATTGCTCTCCTGGGTGCGTTACATATTAGCGGAGCAAAATCGCACAGCGTAACTGGATGCTAAGGGTAATTAGAGATTTAGTGATTAAATAATAAATTAATATGATTAATAAAATACACTACTCAAAAAAAAAAAATAGGGAACATTTCTCATACCCTAAAAATTGGGCTATTTTCAAACCGCTGAAACTCGACGAAAAATAATCGTAGACAAAAAATTAAAAAAGCATTTTGGTTTCAGAAAATTTTTTTATCTTTCTTGTTCTGTGCTTTAAAAAAGAATCCATTGTTCTGTCCCTTAAAATTGATATATTTATGACACTCTGCAACTCGATACAAAAATTTCTCTCTAAAAAGTCAACTCAAGTTCCATAAACTACAACATTTTGCCTACAAAATGCTTGTTTTTAAATTTTCTTACGATATTTTTTGACCGAGTTACATGATTTTGAAACTAAACCTGTATTTTTTAGAAATGATGTCGATACTTGGCGAAAAATCATTATAGACAAAAAGTTAAAAAAGCATTTAAAGCTTGAAGTTCCTTTTTTAATTTTTTGTCTATAATGATTTTTCGTCGAGTTTCAGCGGTTTGAAAATAGGCCAATTTTTAGGATATGAAAAGTGTTCTCTTTTTTTTTTTTGGGTAGTGTATATGAAAAATATTTGTGCAAAAAAAAGAAAAATTTGGAAATTATATAATTCAAGTAAATAACTTATATTAATGCGCTTCAACGATTCGAGCTTGAGATCTTGCATTCTCGAATTGACGTTGATCATCTATCGATGACCTCCTCTCTCAACCCGATCAGCGGCATTTCATCTTTTCTGCGAAAATTTAATTGAGACTTTAAAATCGCATAGATGCAATGAAAAATGTTTTTTTTTTTTTTTTTTTTTTTTTTTTTTTTTTTTTTTTTTGGGTAGTGTATATGAAAAATATTTGTGCGAAAAAAAGAAAAATTTGAAAATTATATAATTCAAGTAAATAACTTATATTAATGCGCTTCAACGATTCGAGCTTGAGATCTTGCATTCTCGAATTGACGTTGATCATCTATCGATGACCTCCTCTCTCAACCCGATCAGCGGCATTTTGCCGATATTACGGTTTCTCGCACATGTCCTATCCCCTTATCTCTTTCTCTGTGTGTATGCGTGTGTTCCTCGATCTCATCTTTTATTCGCTGTACCAGCGTCGGCAATCGCGGATAAATGGTTAATTAACGACTCTCTCCATCTATCTCGTCGCGCTTAGCTCCGGGTAATTGAGTGCTCGGAGATCACGTAGTTGTCTCCGGGTTTTACGTTCGTTCAGGGGGCTCTTGCATAAATTTGCATAATCTCTCGATCGTACCCGCCTCGCCGCCTTCTCGCCGCGTATTCCCTTCCTCGTTCTTTCTCTCTTTCTCCCGACAATGGCGAAAAGAAGAGAAGAGAAGAAAAGAAATGGAGAAAGAAAGAGAAAGAATTCCGTCTCGTACCTTTCTACCTGGCACTCGTAAGTTTTTTCGCTCTCCGAATGTTTACTTTTTTCCTCGCGTCGCGATCATCGTCGTTGTCGTTGGTTGCGAAAAAACATTCTAATCGATTTCACCCCAAACGTTGTTTACTAAATCACCCTTTGTCTCTCTCAATGTTGCGAGTTATCTCGGATAGCTCGAGAGATAGAGGAGATCATCTATATCCTACCGATGGACGGGCTCCTTTGTATTGTACGGAACTGTAACGTCGTTATCCTAACTCGGGATAGTCCTTGGACATTACCGTTCCGTAGCTGAAACTACCTACCCGGTGTGTTATCTGCTTGCCTGGCGGACGCGGAATATTCACTCGCATGAATATTCTATTGGGCGAGCATCAGGGTTGATGGAAGGCGATGCCGGACATTAGCAAACATCACCGCCGCTGTATATGAATAATACGGGCGAGATGATTAAAAACCGGGTTACGCGTCGTAGATAAAAAAAGCTTCTCGCGATAAAATGGGCAACCGAGCTTTTTCGATTTTCCGCGGTAAAGGGTTACGAGTTTTTGAGATATTACACACAGAAAAATACATACTATATACAAGTAAATATTACTTGTTTCAAGTATTTCAAAAGTTCATATATCCGCAAATCTATCATAAGTTCATCATAAGCATCAAATTTATCCAAAATATATTCTGTTACAAGAAGTAAAGTAAACTGAGTAATCATTTTACTTAGCAATAGAATAATATTTTTCTGTGTGTATGGATTGTCAATGTAACTTGATAAAGATTTTTCTTTTTCAATTTATGAAATGGGGTAAATGACAATAAATCCCAATTATTTATTGCTTCTTCATAAAGAAAGCATTTGTTTTCGAGACAAAATTTTTTTCCGGTTTTCTATGCCAATGCGTTTAGAATATTTCAAAACGTCGAAAAAGCATATTTTTAAAAAAATGTTTGTATGTATATGTATGTATGTATGTATGTATGTAGGAATGTACATTATACAACTTCTAACTTCCGCAATTTTTGAGATAGCGGATTAAATTTTGTTAAATGGATAGAGTATCATTAAAGGATGGTTGGTATTGAATTTGGTGAAGATTGGTGAAAGGGATCATTTTTTATAAAATTTTTAATTTTTTGAGAAATGTCTGTACACGTTGTAAACGTGTTCGGACACGTTTCGCAAATTTTGAGATATCTTCTTCTATGAGGAAGCCAAAATTGAAAAACCCGCTTGCTTTAAGGAGTTTAAGCTTTGTGAGCGAAATAAAATGATGAGGAAGCAATGTGCAAGTTTCTAATTTACAATTTTCTTGTCTTAATTTTGAAAAGGGAGCAATCGGAATATTTGGATAACATTTTATCGAAAGGACGCTATAAGAGAATACTCTTCGGCAACTGTAGCGGGATTTCTTGGTGTAAAAGTATCAGAAAGGAAGAAGGGAACCGCTTCTTCCACTTGCTTCCAGAATTTTATGATCGCATGGCCGCGTGCGAACGTTTTACGATGCGACTTTCTCTCTCTCTCTCTCTTTCGTTGCAGCAGCAACGGCCAACCTGCTTCGTGACCGCCCGGTCGGTCCTGTCGTCGTCGTTACATCCCCTGACCTCCATCCCTTCTCTCCCCTTTGTTTCTGCTGTTTCTTTTTAACCGTTTCGCTCGTCCCGCTGCCTTTTACGATCATACTAATTTATACCGCGATATACCCTGGACAAGCCGTTTGTGTATGTCTTTCCTGATATCAAACATCTAACACCCGGTGCAGGCCTGCATGTAACAAAAAAGCGGCCTATCTCTCCTGCATCTCCCGACTAGTCCCGTATTCAGATATCTCGTTCGAGCAGTTTTTAACCCTTTTTCCTACGACTCCTGTATATGTACCATACTTGGATATTTCTAAAAGGCTGTCATTTAAAATTATTGCATATAATAATGTGTTTGCGTGACAATGTATTCTTCATGAATATATGTCATCTTATACTCTATGTAGTATAACAATATCAATTATTTATTTCGAGTGCTATTCAAATTGTTATCGCGACTCCGATCATGAGAGATAAGCTTAATGTGAAATAAATTGAACTGAATCAATTAATTTGATAAAATCTATATTAATATTCGCCACGAATTCTCACGAAGCGTTCTGTTTCATATGCTTGCAGCGTGTTTCTGGTCAGAGAGAGCAAGAGCAATCCGGGAGCCTTTGTTCTGACCTACAAGTACAACGACAAGGTCTTTCATGCGCAAATTCAGCCCGTAAGTATCTACGTTTAATCGATAATTAGCGACAAGTCGAATCGATCTTTTTGTAATTGAAGAAAATTTCGCGGCGATTAAATGCAGAAAAGTTTCTTCGTTCTTTAAAGTCGAAGCCACAATTGTATCGTGAACAAATTAGTAGCGAAAACTTAAAAAAAATAACTGATTTTTTGCTATACAGATCGACTCTCTCGAATAAATCCATATTAAACTGTATTTTCTTTCAATATCATCAGTGTTATTTAAAGCGATAAATAATATTTTATAACAGTTTGAGATATAGTGTTTTATCTCTAGCTTTCTAGTCTCCTTACGAATTCCTATTTGAAACGCACCTTTTAAACAATATCGTGATGTCTTTCAAACATTTCGCTCGAAAGCGTCAACGTCTTCACGTCGATCAAATTTTTCCTTTCAGATTTTTGACGAACGTCGCAACTGCTGGTTATATACTCTCGACAAGGGGGCGACCAAATTCTACGACTTGCTACAGCTGGTCGAGTTTTATCAGCTGAACGCGGGCTCGCTGCCCACCCGGTTGACCCACTACGTGCAAAACGGGGTGAAGCCGCCGCTGCACAAGCCAGAGGACGGCGGTGCCTCGCCGTCACCGCCTGAGGGCAGCAGCCAGCGAGTCAACAGCACCGACAAGGTCGCCGAGCCATGCGGCAAACCGAGCAGCATTTGAGTATAGGACAGCCAGCGACCCGTCAATGTTGTTGACGGCGATCGTCTGCCGACCGTTTGCGTCACCACCAACGGACCCCTCGTCCCCGTCACCGACAACATCGTGATGGTGCATCGTAGCAGTAACAACAACAACAAGCACCTGGGGAACGATAACAATGGTAGTAGTGACGACAACGGAAACCGCGACGACGTCCACGCGACACGGTCGGGTTGCTGGAGCCTATGTTGTCTTTGCAGTTATAACAAATGGGATTTGTAGCGCGATCGGAATAGTAGCAGGGCGATATTCGAGCACGCATGAAAAGGAAGACGGTTGTCTTGTCGCGAAGACAGACAGGATGAGAAAGAAAAAGAGAGAGAGAAAGGGAGAGGCGGTGCGGCTTGAGCATCACCCTCGGATCGCGATTTGTTTTAATAAGCAGCGCAGCGTGTATGTAACGTCATTGGGTCGGCTGACCCCGTGCAAAAGAATGACCAATTTTTGGGCGCGAGATAATAACAAAGAAAATATGATCGCCGCGAAAAGCGTGGGATCGCTGTGGTATAAGAAGTTTTATTTTTATTTTGATTTTTCACGTTCATTCTGTTGTTCTATTCACGCGGATAATGTCCAGAGTAGCGCGGTGCTGATATCCGCCGACAGCGATCCTCACACGGAAACGAAAAACCTCTTCGATGTTTTTAATCGTACATTACTGTGTTAGTCGTCGTGTAATAAAGGATCCATCTTGTCGTCTAGACTTTCCCAAAGACCTTTTTCCCTTTTCGTTTCCCTTTCACTTAAGATTTTCAGCGATAAACGCGTCTAGACGATCAAAGAAGTATCACGTATTCGTTTTTCCCATTTTTTTTTTCCATTTTCTACATGTCCACGTTTGCACAAACATGGCGCGTATGACTAGATTATTAATCGCGCGCGACGACATCGTCGCTCGTAAAGTTATTCCGTAAGAAGAAGGGAAAAGCGCTATTGCGCGCACGTGTATGTATGCATAATGATGCGCGATGTGCATTATTTGTATGCGAGAGAAAGAAAGTGGATAGGTAAGTGTTGTCGCGGAGTACGATATAGTTGGTATTATATCGTAATGAATTAGCAATATAAGAGGAATACAAAGTTTGATCTTTCCACGTATGCATGTCATGAGTGCGCGTGTGTGTGGGCATGTGAGAGAGAGAGAGAGAGAGAGAGAGAGAAAGATGCTATAGAAGTGACACGTGATCTTCTCATCTTCCATTCTTTTTTTTTTGTTTTTTCTTTGACGCGCATCGTGCGTATCGAGCGTCTCTTCTGTTTATTCGTTTCCCCGAAGAGAATGCGCGACAGAGTCAATCGTGCGAGTGGCTACCACACGACTTTGTCGCCTGACGACGACGACGACGACGACGAGTTTAAACGACGAAAGAGAAAAATCGGCCAAAATAAGGGAGAGGAGAGAGGTATGAAGCGTCCGCGTATTCCGTTCATTAGCTGTAAGGCTGTGTCAGACAAGATTACTTGACAACAATAGTGTTGAGATTCATGGTTCCCGAGTCCAAGGTGTTCAAAATTAAACGAGACAAGAGGAAAGACATATGTTTTTTCGTAGAGGTGTCTTGCGTCTTGTTTGCAAAATTTTTATTACAATTCGCGAAAAACCGAAACGCGACGCGAATCCTCCCCGCGATACGAAGTTAGGGGAGGAGCAGCATACACATATAACATTAATGAATCTAAGAAATACAATACGATTAGTATAAGGATCCTCAACGTTGAGGGCCGAGGAACACGCTCGCGGATTCTTGTGGTACTGCAACGCGCGCCAAAAGATATGGAAGCGTGTCCCTTGGCAGATATGATCTCATATTTTACAGATGTTTCAGTTGCGTGAGGCATTTGTTGGTTAATATGAATTCGGAGAGGTTCAATTAATTATTACATAAAACTACTAAGAACGCGTAACATTTTGAAATAAGAGAACGAAAGAGAATGAATGAGATAGAGTGTGAAACAAAACGATGTGTATGTACAATGTGTATGAAGAGAAGAATGAGAAAGAAGTTGTGCGAGGACGAGATTGGTCACGCGATAAAACACAAGAGAGAAAGAGAGAGAGAGAGAGAGGTATATTTAAATACAAAAAAATACATACATATGTATATGCATGTTCTAAATTATGCAATTTAATTTTGTATTCGGGATATATATATATATTACTATCGATCGCGGAAAAAATCGATGGTGCGAAGTTCGTGGGTGTAGCGTCACCGGATGCGAACGTTGTCGTGCATTCTAGAGATTTATAATACAAAAGTTTTTAACGTAATGTTTTTTCGAATAATAATATGTGAAAGTCACATAAGATATAAAAGCGAATCGGTAGAAGCTGTGGAGTGTGCAGGGTATGGACGCGATAGAAATTATTTACGCATTGTATTACGATTCGTCACGAAAGGAACAGTACCAAGCCCTTGCCCCTTATATTCGTACCTACTTTTTAATAATATATTTTTTCATCGATTATATATTTATTTAATATCGAACGTAGCGCCTACGCGTCGTCTCTTCAAATGGTACTTTTTGAGTAATTCGAAGAAGTGCAGATCTTATACAGATATGTAACACACAACAATTAATACACTACAATTAACACACACACACACACATGAGAAACATTGACACAAATGCACAAACATGGCGCGTATGACTAGATTATTAATCGCGCGCGACGACATCGTCGCTCGTAAAGTTATTCCGTAAGAAGAAGGGAAAAGCGCTATTGCGCGCACGTGTATGTATGCATAATGATGCGCGATGTGCATTATTTGTATGCGAGAGAAAGAAAGTGGATAGGTAAGTGTTGTCGCGGAGTACGATATAGTTGGTATTATATCGTAATGAATTAGCAATATAAGAGGAATACAAAGTTTGATCTTTCCACGTATGCATGTCATGAGTGCGCGTGTGTGTGTGCATGTGAGAGAGAGAGAGAGAGAGAGAGAGAGAAAGATGCTATAGAAGTGACACGTGATCTTCTCATCTTCCATTCTTTTTTTTTTGTTTTTTCTTTGACGCGCATCGTGCGTATCGAGCGTCTCTTCTGTTTATTCGTTTCCCCGAAGAGAATGCGCGACAGAGTCAATCGTGCGAGTGGCTACCACACGACTTTGTCGCCTGACGACGACGACGACGACGACGAGTTTAAACGACGAAAGAGAAAAATCGGCCAAAATAAGGGAGAGGAGAGAGGTATGAAGCGTCCGCGTATTCCGTTCATTAGCTGTAAGGCTGTGTCAGACAAGATTACTTGACAACAATAGTGTTGAGATTCATGGTTCCCGAGTCCAAGGTGTTCAAAATTAAACGAGACAAGAGGAAAGACATATGTTTTTTCGTAGAGGTGTCTTGCGTCTTGTTTGCAAAATTTTTATTACAATTCGCGAAAAACCGAAACGCGACGCGAATCCTCCCCGCGATACGAAGTTAGGGGAGGAGCAGCATACACATATAACATTAATGAATCTAAGAAATACAATACGATTAGTATAAGGATCCTCAACGTTGAGGGCCGAGGAACACGCTCGCGGATTCTTGTGGTACTGCAACGCGCGCCAAAAGATATGGAAGCGTGTCCCTTGGCAGATATGATCTCATATTTTACAGATGTTTCAGTTGCGTGAGGCATTTGTTGGTTAATATGAATTCGGAGAGGTTCAATTAATTATTACATAAAACTACTAAGAACGCGTAACATTTTGAAATAAGAGAACGAAAGAGAATGAATGAGATAGAGTGTGAAACAAAACGATGTGTATGTACAATGTGTATGAAGAGAAGAATGAGAAAGAAGTTGTGCGAGGACGAGATTGGTCACGCGATAAAACACAAGAGAGAAAGAGAGAGAGAGAGAGAGGTATATTTAAATACAAAAAAATACATACATATGTATATGCATGTTCTAAATTATGCAATTTAATTTTGTATTCGGGATATATATATATATTACTATCGATCGCGGAAAAAATCGATGGTGCGAAGTTCGTGGGTGTAGCGTCACCGGATGCGAACGTTGTCGTGCATTCTAGAGATTTATAATACAAAAGTTTTTAACGTAATGTTTTTTCGAATAATAATATGTGAAAGTCACATAAGATATAAAAGCGAATCGGTAGAAGCTGTGGAGTGTGCAGGGTATGGACGCGATAGAAATTATTTACGCATTGTATTACGATTCGTCACGAAAGGAACAGTACCAAGCCCTTGCCCCTTATATTCGTACCTACTTTTTAATAATATATTTTTTCATCGATTATATATTTATTTAATATCGAACGTAGCGCCTACGCGTCGTCTCTTCAAATGGTACTTTTTGAGTAATTCGAAGAAGTGCAGATCTTATACAGATATGTAACACACAACAATTAATACACTACAATTAACACACACACACACACATGAGAAACATTGACACAAATTGCATTAAATTCTAGAATAGTAGCGCTTTATAGAATTAAATATTAGGATAACAAATTCTTCGTGAATGGGTATGAAAAAAAAACAATCTTCTGTAGAACGGTGGTCTGCCAAACGCGGCGTTCATCCCCGAGCCGTTCGCGTGAAGTTCCTCCATCCCTCACGAAATTCAAGTTAAAGTCAAATTAACGAAATTACCTCTTGGAATACGCTTATCGCGCGAGAAAAGAAATTGTCCTTTCGGCCTTTCGTGTAAATATGTCTATTTAGGCCAAAACCCCACAACTTCCTATCCCGATCATCCCGTCTACCCGCGGCCCGTCGACAATTTGAAAATCAACTTTGATAGCGGTTAATCAATCTTGATTCTTCAAGTCGATACCGCGCGGAAACTTCCTCCTCTTTCCTCTTACAAAGACGAGAACCGAACGGAAAACGAGACAAACGCCGAGTTCCTCGTGGCCACCAGCGTAAAAGAAGCTATAAATATTATTATGGTGATTAATTAACTACATAAATTATAATAAAATATATTTTGTATTAATGTAGTCACGAATTAATACGGCAAACGCAGTGGTCTGTGAAGACTGAACCTAAATAAGAGAACGCAAATTAGTCCTGTGCGAATTTCATCGACGTCTGTTAAGAACAATAAAATGATCAGGTAACGGAACGTTTACTATTGTGTTTTTATTTCTATCCCCGGACAGTATATTTTGTTTTGTTAGTACATTCTATTTTAATATCTCGTTTATTTTATTATTAAGTGTTATATATTATTCGTAATTTAATAATTTATTTTATCCGTCTATCCCCCCTCGAGAGATTATTTTGCCTTTCTTTTTTGTAAAAGCTATGGCCACAACTTGAAGTACGTTGTCACAAGGAACCAAAGTCCACACTCATGCTTGCGTATGCGATCGAATTACCCGCAGACGTTGATGAAACTCACATTATATCACTCTGACATGCGAATATTCCGACGCAGAGCTCGACCCTGTGTTGGCTCAAACTCAATCAATCGCACGAGTTCGATTGTATACATAAAAGCGGTACGCAGATTAAATTTGAGTTCGCTGACCGAGCGAGAGATGAAGATCCGAACGAACATATATTTAGTGGAAGCCTAAAATCGAGGAAGGAAAGAAAAAAAAAACTGTAAACGTACAAGTTCCGGCCAGGCTTTTTGCTGTTGCACTCTCATGCAATTTACAGCATGCAAAGGCAGCTTAATCGTAGAACATACATGTGTAATACGATAATTATGTATATCACCGTCGTGATTACTTATCTGTCGACGGTGAATTTCGATGGGAGAAAAAGCGAGAGATGTGTGCGAATAGCTTTTACTTTTTTCGAGATCGTTCTCGATATTGTTACATCTATTATTTAATTTATTGTAGATTCAAGACACAATTTTTTAGATGATACACGTATTTCTTCATTATAAAGCGAGTCTCAAAATCGCTCGATAAAATTTTCATTCCAACGAGTTTAAACTCTTGATGTGATTAGTTTTGGTGTCAAACTTTCTAAATAAAAATTTTTTATTGCGAGCGATTTTAAAGCGAGAAGCTTTTTTTCACGAACGAAGATGGGTACTCGGGTATAGAAACTAAACTATTCACTAGTCCATATTAACGACACATTAACAGAATCGTCTCGTGATGAGAAAAAAATAGGAGTCTAACGCGAAGATTTTTCTCTCGCAATCACGTCCAAAAAAATATATATATTGAATCTACTATCATGCGCTTCTCGTTCGCTGATCACAAATTACAATCGTAATAATAATAATAATAATAATAATAATAATAATAAATAAAATCAATCGCGATCTTGCGTTTGCCCGATTCACGACGGACGTGCACCGCAAACGAATGCGCGTTAGAATGAAAGAGAGAATGTACGTATGAAATAATTGCTATGGTTGAAAAATTACCCTTACTACACTCTTGTAAGGGAATCATCCAAATATAGTCACTTGTGACGTATGAGTCGTCGGGTATTAAATATGATGTCTCCATTAGCATTTATTTTTAAAAATTTTGGCTCCTTTGGATATTCTTAATCTAAATTTTTGTGTCAAAGAATAATTGGATATTAAAGAATTATATAATAATTATATAGATATTTAAAAAACAAAATTAAGATTGATTAGATACGTTTTTTCTGAAAAATTTATAATTTATTATTTTACCGACTCGTTCCATTTTACCCAATTAATTATAAATTAATTAATTTTACCCAACGACTCGTGCCGAGATAATCAAAGGGACTAATGTTCCGTCAATGGACAATCGCCGGGGCATTTTCAACGACTGCAGAAACCGTAGGTGTGATAACCTCAGGTACCTGTGGTCAGCGAATATGCATTCGCGGACCGAAAATAGGCCAGCTCTATAATATTGTGTATCCCCACGGGAACGTTTCAGCCGGGACAAACTCGCTCGAGATGGAGGCAGATCGAACAAAAAAAAAAAGATGTGTCATTGCGTGTGCATGCTTGTGTGCGTAAATATGACGCGCCGGATGCGCCTGATGCAGTTTAATAAGTTTAACGAATAGATTGTGTATCTCAAATCAATATTAACGGACGCACATTAAAGTATCTATATGTTTCGACGACACTTTAAAACGGTTTGAAAAAGAAAAAAGAAAAAAAAATCCGCATTGTGGAAAAAAAAGACGAGAGCGAAAAAGCAGCAGAGAATACTTTATACAGGGTGTTCGCGACAATTATTCGTTAGAAAAGCCACGAACGATTAAAAACGACAAACGCACAAATTGCCGGACCTATATAGCTCAAAGTCTCCGACTACTATCGTAGAGATTTTCATCATTGTCAGAGAAACGGGACCGGATATGATTAGAGATTTTTCAAAGAAAGTCTCCGCTCGCGAATGGCGGAGATGTAGCAAGCCGTTTCCGTTCATTACGAATCATCACCGTCCTCTTCCCTCTCTCCTCCCTCGATCATTCATCGATTCTCCGAATCCCCGTCGTCCGTATCGCGGATAATGCGTCCCTGGTTGAAGAGAAAAAAAGATTTCCGGAAGTGCTCTTGGTACCCATGGTCTTACCGAGAAGATTTTCTTACCATTCGGTTACGTTCGCACGTTCATGG